GCACCTGTCGTCCTTCGGGGCGAATTTGAAAGAATCGAGCGGCAGCGGCGGCGGCGACCGCGATTTGCCCCAAAGAACGACACAGACCGAGGCAGAGTCGAGTGTGTGCATGTGTGCTTGTGTCGCGCGTACGAGGGCGGCAAAGGAGCGCCGGCGCGTGCAACAGGCAACTTGAAGGATGCTCGAGGCGGCAGGCGGCAGGCGGCAGGCGGACGCATGAGCAGGTGTGCGTGCGCAGGCGAGTCACGAAGAGAACAGAGACAGCAAAGGGCAGACAGCGCGACAGACGTGGACGCACAGTGTGCAAGCGTGCCGGCGTGCCAGCGTGCCGGCGTGCCCGCGCGCATTGATGTGTGGATGGCAGAAATGTACACCGTGAATAGCAAACAGGCAATGACCCCAGTCTGCTTTCTGGTTGGTCGAGCAGGTCGACGAAGGACAGTAGACAAGAGACAAGAGAAAATGGCACAAAAGACAACAAACAGCACAAAGAAAGACAGCGACCAATCTGCCGCAGACAATATTCGCGTGCGGACGCGAGAGCACAGAGCAAAATCGTCGAGGCTGTCTGCACAATTTGTGCTGAACCGATCACTGGGGCGAGAGGGAGAGTGAGAAAAGGGAGAATTTCTATTCTTTGTCACCAAGCCAACAGGCCTATGTGCACACACGCACAGACAGACGCACACACAGACGCAGGAGGAGAGAAGTGTAAAGACAAAAGGGCAATAGGTAGGCACAATGAACGAGTCGAGTGGTCAGCAGAAAAGATCGATACGAGAGAAGAGGTCAGTCAGTCAGTCAGTTAATCAAGCAATTAGTCATTCAATGAGACAATCATTGAGTCAAAACAGAAAATCACTGTCTCTCTCCTTGTCAGTTTATGCTCCATTCAAAAATTCAGTCTGCCAGTCAATCAATGGGCCAATCGTTGATTCATTTTGACGATAGTTAAAGCAGGCAGCGACTCGCTGATAAAGTCATTAGCCAATGATTCAATAAATACGCATTTGACCATTCATTCAGTAAATCAAAACACTTCACTTTAGTCGGTTTCTGGCAGGAATTACAATTTCGGGAGAAAAGTTGGCTTCAAGCAATGCGTGATGTCGTCTCACCGCCGCGTACGGAAAAGAAAGTGTCCAATTGCGTGGACAAGTCGTCAAGCAATCGTCCGCTGTGGCTTAGCTTCTCTTGGTTTGGCATACTTTTGCTCTGTTTCGTCAAGTGTGGATAGCTGTTGCGATGGTGTCTGTCACAGTCGTGCTGCAGGCGAACGCTTAGCACAGGCTGCTCGGTGTCGCAGGACTTGTTCGCCCAATTCAACCGTCTTGCCTGCGCGGTGGTGGTTCTTCGGTCTCCGACGAGACGGCATCACCAATTCAGTCCAGCCAACTTTTCCTTGTAAATGCAAAGTCATGTCACAACATATCATCCAGCAACTCTTAGAAACACAGTTGTTGTTCATTTGCTACAAGTCAACCAGCCAGCTTGTCTTTCATTCATTCTTTGCGTAAGTAATTCATTCATTCATTTGGCCGGTAGGTGAGTCATGCATTAAATAATCCACTCATTCACTCATCCAGTCATAAGCCAAACATGCATTAAGTCAGTACGGAATCAATCTTCCATTAAGTCAGACAGCCAGCCTGTCAGTTATAAATTCATCCAGCTAATCAGTAAATGAAAAACAATCCGGATATTTATCTTTCATCAATCCATTCAGTCAGGCGGTCAGTAATTCAATCACAAAAACAAACAGACAATGAGCCAATCATTCAAATCAGTAAATACATAAATAAACCACCGATTCACTGATTCGGCCATTAGACAATCATTAATCAAGTCTGCAGGTAAGCAAGCTTTCATAAAGTCAGCCAGTCAATCAATCATTCATTCATTAGGTCACTCAGTAAATGAGCTATTCACTCAATTATTTAATCATTTTTCAATCAGTCATTAAGTCAGTAAGTGACCAATAATTCATTAAGACATTCGACCAGCCAGTTTCTCTTTCATTTATGCATTAATTCTAATCGGTCAGTTAGTTACTCAACTATACAGCCAATCGTTCATTAATTCAGTAAATAAATAAATAAGATAGTCATTTACTCATTCAGCCACTAGTCGATCAATCAGTACATCAGTAAGTGAAAAAAATTTAATTATGTCCGTAAATCAGTCATTGATCCAGTCTGTAATAAATTCATCCTTCGAGTCAGTCATTCGTAAGTCATCCATTCACTGATTCAATCAATCCATGCGTCACTAAGTAATCAATCATTCATTCATTCAGTTATGCAGTTGATAAATGAGTTAAACGTTCTATTATTCAATCAACCAGTAAACCATTCATTCAATGAATTATTCAGTCAGCCAGTCAGTCTTTGTTTCATTCACTTATTCAATCGGTAGGGCTTTTACACACACGCCCTACGCAAGTTCCGCGACGGACGACCGGCTTCAACTTGCCGGATTTCTGAAGAGGCAGTTGCACCTCGTGTCGGCTCGGCTGGGAGCTAGACGCTGGTACGTTTTCTATATTGCATTCAACCGACCCACACATCGCCAGCACCAATCGCCTCTAAAAGGGACCGAGGCTCGGCAGGTCACCAAGACGAAGCTCTTCCCGTCCTGACGTAGACTTCACCTGTTCACATGATGCATCTTTCTCCAGACCAGCACTTCACACCTCGTCGCCCCATCACATCGCGTCAGTCGAACAGCTTGTTTTCCTTCGGCGCTTTCTCACCATGACGATGTCAGCCACGGAGACAACGGGAAACTCAGAACAGCTTCCTCGAGTTGGCAAGACGGTGAGTTCGGCGTTACTCCCTCATGACAATACACTACAATACACGAATTCCTTGAGACTAAGATGCTTGCATAGAAACGAAAAGTCGAATAATAGCACAAAATAAATGACGTTACAGTAACGGATGGGATGGGATGGGAGGCCGTCATCAAGACTTCCCCTCGGAGCAGTGGAATGGTCGTTTCCTATGCCACCCAAAGGGCTGAAGAAGAACAAGCGGAGGGCCGATGAACCACAAGTCGAAAGGGGCAGAGTCCGAGAAGTAGAGTTCGAGGCTTTGCAGCCACCTGCTAACAGGTAAGCTGGTCATCATAAGAGTATAGACTATTCAACCCCGCCCAACTGACCGCAGGTTGACCAAATCCCAAAAGTTTGCAAGATAGGAGAGAAGTCAAGTAACGACTAGTTCATTTATGAAATAGGCGTCGTGTTACAGACAAGGCGAGATAAAAAATACAAACCTCGTCGAGCCATACTCACAAAAAGCAGATCCTAAAAAAAGAATGTCAAAACAAAGGTTAAAGAGCAAAAGTAATAGTTGGAAATGACACACCTCACTACTTTATTAGGTCAAAATGGTTAAACTAAGTCAAACGGATCGGAAGCGCTCTAGAGTTGACTTAACCGAGACAAACCATCACAAAGACAAGCATGAGGCCAGCAGAAAACTATCAACACAAGGCATAGACACAGGTCGGGTCAACTAAAGAAGAGATAGGGGACCATTTTATGTCTGTCATAAGCCAATGTGTCTGATGAAAAATATGAAGTAGAAAATACCCAAGGTAGGACTATATCAGGTAGAAGAGATACTCAAAATGGCTTTGATAATTATTTCCAGAATGATCGATACAAACAAAGCCAACCAAAACTACCAGCGTTCGGATCAATTCAAGGATATGACTGAGTACCTTTAATTAGGAATAAAATATCGGTATTGGGTCAAAAATTGGTCTTGCTTCTCGCGAAAAGGAAATAAGAAAAGTATAGATGAATGTGTTCATTCTATCTCGTTGAAAAATAGCTCCCTTGAAAGTTCCATCTGTCCTGTAACGCAATGGCACTTGCGGCAATGTGGTGTAGCGGTTAACATGTCGAGATTATACGCCGCAATCTCATGGTTTGAGTCATACCTCAACAAAATATGGTGAACTTATCCGATTTACTGGTATTCTTGACACTCTAATTACAAGCTAAAAATAAAAAGTGAACCATTCGGATATAATAATGACCAACACTCAACATAGTAAGACATTTTGAATGAGATTATATATTCTCCTGGGCTTGAGCTTATTGCCCTGAGGAAAATTTAGCCAGCGATTGAAAGCCAATTAGCGCATGCATTAGGACCATTGAGGAAAGATGACAAAAAAGTATTTAGAGCACAAAGCTGTTGACAATTAGGGCAAGTGAAAATAATGGTGGAAAAGGAGGCACATGCAGGCGTGGCTATACAGAAAGGGACTTGAAAGTGCAATGGAATTCGAGAGGTGGCAGGCCAAATAGTACAAAGCCTTAAACGCATCAAAGCCACAAGCCTTTTTCGTGTCGGTCGGCCCTAAAGAAACAGCCTGTAGACTGGATCCAATGCAAAGTCAACGTACATTTAAGAGTTGACAAACTAGCATATCGAACGGGAGGAGGTGAAAAGTCATGCTACAGAAAGAAAGCAGGGACGGGAATAAAGGATTGGATATGGGAGAATGTCAATGTCTGAGACGGCAGGGAAACTAGTGGTTAAAATGACAGCTCATCAGAGGGCCTGCCAACAAAATGAAAAGCCCGAAATTTAGCGCCCGAATCGCTCTAGTTGCTGGGACTTCCTGTATGCCTGTAGGTGCAGGCAGTCAAGGCGAGCACCGTGCGAGCATTGATTCGATAAAATGGTGGGATCACGGTTACTAACGTCTAATAAAAAAGATAGGCTACCAATGCAAAAAGGCGAAAGTAGCGACCAACCCAAAGGGGTGAAGTATCGGTTAATCTGGGTCACTCAGAGTGGACAGGGCTTAATTATCAAATGACTCAACAAGCCGAAAGCACATGCCGCAGATTCAAACGTGGTTCGATCTGCTGTCGCGACAAAAGATGTGATATATAATTGGATTTATAGAAGAGTTGATTTTACAGATTATTTTATCGGTGAGCTTTATAAATGCGTGACAAAGGGACAGAAAGGCAAACAAATGGCTATATTTTTTTGATGAGAGTAAAAGAGTTAGAAGTTGTGATGGTGACGATGGTGGTACGAGGATAGGGAAGGTTTGTCAAGACAAAAGGAGATATACTACAGCAGTTTTACAGAAAGTTTAACCTTGCTTGTGTCTAGGATGAGTTATAGCTTGGCTCTGAGAGAAAAAGACAGCTGACGATACGGACTACGAAGAAAATGAAATGCTTGGGAATGTACGAAGTCCACGTTCCGACTCTGGAAAATAATATAACTATATAGCCGAGGCCTCTGGACAGGGTGCGTCCAATTAGATCGTCCTGACAACACGACCAAATTGTGAAAACGAGGCTTAATCACTTTCATGTTATTATAAGTCGCTTAAGTTATAAATTTTCCACATACCAACTAGTTGCTAAAGGCGTAGGAAGAAGCCTCATTAGCAGGCTGTATGTTAAGGCTGGCCATAACATGAGAAATGGAAGGCACTTTAGTAGTTAGGCTTAAACTATAAATCCGCTAACTATTCTTTCTCCGCCTTGAAGATTTCGTGAGGACCCCTATTGGCCAATACTTTGGAGCTGTTGATTTGGAAGATTGCACATCAAATCTTACAACCCGGCGGCTTATATCTTCCTTAATCAGTTAATTCAATCAGTATGGTATTTTCGTCAGTCCACTGGCTCCAATCGCCGCCGCGTCTATCCTTTTCTATTTCTAATAGCGATGGGAGCTAGTGGACTGACCTTAGTTTCTCTAAGAGACGTGGTCCATTTGGCAAAGGCCGGACCATGACACTTACTCACAGGCTTGAACCTCGAATTAGTCACCCAGACGCAGGGTAGGGCTAATAAAGCCTCAAGTTGGCACAGATGGGGTGGCAGGGCTCGAGTGAAATATGTGAACCAGAGAGAGGCCAGACGGATCTTACGGGGCAAAAGAGAGACTGGGGTAAGACGTAGGGAAGGAGGACTGCGTAACAATATGGCAGACTCAGATCAACATTCCCAGCACAAGGATGAAGGGCGGTGAGAAGGCCAGCGTGGAGTGCAGAGAGTTTCTCATTTAAGCCGCTAAAAAAGGGCACCAACTACATTTAATTAAGCAAGTAAAATATTGTGACAGTGAAGGTGTGATTGGAGGTTATAGGAAATGTGATAGGTCAGGGCAGAACGGGAGATATCATAACTGTTTAGCACACGTTTGGTCAAAGAATCGGCTTCACTTGTCTCTTTGACGAGTTGTAAGATAGTGCTACGAATGGTAAAACTCATTAACGATGCCGACTACGTTCCGACTACGATGCCGGCGAAACGTCTGGGAATGTACCACGTCCACGGTCCGACTCTGGAAATAATTAT